GACAGGGGACCATTCCTGGAAGGCCTCAAATGCAGTGAGTTTGGACATTATCCGTAGGCAGCGGGGAGCCACGGAAGAGATATGAGGAAGAGCAACATGATAAGACCAGAACTGTGTCTTCAAAAGCAAGCCTTAGTGGCAGTGAGGAAGATGGCTGGATCAATGGTGTTGAATTCAAGCTTTCAAACAACATTTAATTTTATTATTACTATTTTTTGGAGAGATGGGATCTTGCTATGTTGCCCTGTCTCTTGTTATGTTGCTGGACTGAAATTTCTGGCCTCAAGTGATCCTTCTGTCTTGGCCCCCCAAAGTGCTGGGATTACAGTCGAATTCAAGCTTTATGAAAAGTTTCAAGGAAAATGATCCAGTCTCCAAACATTTCAGGGTAAGCCCCTAAGGATCCACAACCTTAACTACTTTCCAGGCTGTGAACTATCAGTGGAGAAGATGCAGGGAGGCAGCAAGCGACGGCAGAGATAGGAGCCCGTCTCCTTGTTCCAGAGAAAGGGAGGAGACATCTTTCTGAGTCCTGCCCTCCTCCCTGACAACTCACCTTCTAGCAAGAGCCACAGAAGATAGAAGCCCAGACTCTACACCCCCACAGGGCATCTGCACTCCTCGCCTTGCATTCAAGGTCCCATCATTCCTGAGCTTCCTCCTTCCCAATCCTGCCTCACCCCTGAACTTGAGCTTCTACTCAATCAGAGCAGCCTCCTCAGCACACCAAACAGCCCTGCCCCCCAGGGCTCTCACCTTCTCTCCTCCTGTGAGGCCTGCCCAGTTCTTCTCTCCTCGTCAGACCCCATGAAAGCAACGGTGTGGGGAGGGAGAGAGGGAATTTTTTCCCTTTCTGAGGTTCTGAGGGGATCGTGATGGGGAGTCAGATCCTGGCCCACTGCCTACTCTATGTGGCTTGGGAAGCCACTTGACAGTGCTCCAGCCATGGGCCTCAGTTTCCCTGTCTGTACAAATGGGTGATAATATCCACCTTAGAAGGTTGTTGTCAGGTATGAAGTGAGGTCTCACACGTGAAAGCGCTGAGATGCTGGTGTTATTTGGGGTTCAATAAATGTTAGTTTTTTCTTTCCTATTGTGCCGTCTACTTCCTGGGACATCCCATAGGGCTGCTGAGTTCTAGATGGTCCACCCACTAGCTACTGTTAAGTGTCGTCCAGAACCCATGTGTCCTTTGAAACCAAGTGGAAGCCCCCTCCTACACAAAATTCTTTAATGCACAGGAAGAGAGTTCAGGGAGCCCAGCTGACCCGGGCAGCACTCATGGGGTATGGATCATTGCTATTTATTACTGGCTGGCTCTGCATGTCCTTGAAGATAGAAGCCATGTCTGATGTTTCTGGCCTCTCCCACATGGTGTGCACAGTGCTGTGCACCCAGCAGACACTCAACAGCTGCTGGTAGGTGGATAGTCTAGCAGACCCATGGGATGACCCAGAAGTAGATGGGACAACAGGAAGGAAAAAACTGTTTACTGAACCCCGAATAACACCAGCATCTCAGCACTTTTATATGTGAGACCTCACTTCATACCTGACAACAATCTTCCAAGGTGGATATTACCACCCATTTGCATACACAGGAAAACTAAGGCCCATGGATGGAGCACTGTCGGGTGACTTCCCAAGCCACAGAGAGTAAGCAGTGGGTCAGGATCTGAACCTACAGCCATGATCCTCTCAGAAACTCAGAAAGGGACCCTCTCCCTCCCCATGTTGTTGTCCTATGTACTCTTATTCCAGCCAGACCTTTGGCCATAAAGGGTCCTATTCCAACACCCACTGAAGGACACTCCCGTGGCCCATGGAGAAGCCCTTGCCCCAGAAGTTCCAGCCTTGATGTCCCCAAGCTCCAGCTGGAACCTGCTGCAAAAGAGCCCTGCCCTCTCCACTCCTTTGCTTTCTTCCTGCTGGGCTCTGGCTCCAGCCTGCTGGGGACTGACACAGCTGGCGCACCCTTCAGGGCCAGGTGTTTGCTAAACAGGCTGGACTGGTGGAAGTTCACTCTTAGCTCATGGTGACAAGGGGCAGGAGGGAGAGGAAAAGGACAGTGACACATGCCACTGGGGGAAGCCAGACTCCTGTGTGGGCCTGTCCACACTCTCTCTGCCCCCTGCTCAACATGTGTCCTCACCTTAGGGCTCTTTATTGCCAGGATAGCCTCCAGTCCCCAAGGGGCAGCAGACAGGGCAACAAGGCTCTCTCTGGCCTGCTGGCCATGGCATAGACCCCAGGGCGGCTCTTGCTTTCTAGGGATTCTGCCCATGATGTCCATAGGCACACCAGGCTCTTAATGGGCCAGGATCTCTGAGATCTAAAATCTGTTTCAGTAGTGTTTTCCAAACACTAGAAGCAATCTAGTAGTAAGTAGTCAAATCAATTTAGTGAATCAAAGTCAGTATTTTTTTTTAAGTATAGAACAGAAAACATCAGAGTGTAAAGCAGTTAGTAAGAATAAATGTTGGCCGGGAGGGTAGCTTACAACCTGTAATCCCAGCACTTTGAGAGGCTGGGATGGAAGGATTGCTTGAGGTCAGGATTTCAAGACCACCTGGCCAACATATTAAGATTCGTCTCTACAAAAAAATTTTTAAAATTAGCTGGGTGTGGTGGGATGCAGCTGTAGTCCCAATACTCAGGAGGCTGAGGTAGAAAGATGCCTGATCCCAGAAGGTTGAGGCTGAGGCTGCGATGAGCCATAATTGTGCCTCTGCACTCCAGTCTGGGTAACACAGTGAGACCTCGACTAAAAAAAAAATGTTGTTTTATGAAACTTTTTAAAAAGTGATAATCGATAGAAACCAACTTTGGGGTCACAGTGTAAAATGGGTATTTCTTATTTTTACTGTAGGTCACAGTAAAAATAATGTTTGAAAGCCACCACATGGGATCCTACAGCAGAGACCCACCAACAGCCTGAACTGCTTAGCCCATGGTCTGAAATCCTGAGAACAGGGCACTGAATGCCTCCCCGCTGGCCAAAACTGAGCTGTAGATTCCTCAGGAGAGATAGGGACACTACAACCTTGGTCTTTGGAGAGCTCAAGAAATGGACAGGTGGCCTAGCCAGGTACTGTCTGGCTGGAGGCAGGGAGGCTGAGAAGCCTGGCTGATGGCCCTCCCTGCCCCTCCCACAGCCAGCTGGGCAGTACAGGAGATGATTAATCACCTGAGGCATCCTGGCTGCGTGTGCTGCGTGATGTGGGTAGGCACTGAGGAGCTTCTGGTTCGCCTGGGCCTGGGCCACCTCCTCCACACCTGTCGAGCCCAGCCTCTCCCGGCAGAATCAGAAAGTTCCAGGAGTCAAGTCCTACAGAATTCCAGTAAGATGTCCTGGCCTGGCCACCGTCCATTGCCAACCCCTCTCCTGGGGGTGGGCACTGGCTGGACCCCCATGCTCAGACCTCATAGGGAGAAAAACCTCAGTCTGTGGATGATGGCATCTGCTGCCACAGTGGTTTTCCCAGAGCTCCCTACCCAGGGCGGCTCACCCTAGTTCAGCCATAGAAACAGAGTGCCCCACTTGAGTATTTTCAGTTACATATCTTGGGGCCAAGGAGAGGGCGATGTCTCTTACTTTAAAGAGATGATTGACAAGCAGCCTTTCTGCTGCCACCTCTCAGCAACATGGCAGTAGCTGGCTCACAACACTGTCCCCAGAACAGCCAACCTCAGCTAGATCTGGGTCCTGGGCCCTAGGCCCTAGGCCCTGACCCTAAGTGGTAACAGTGTAAGAAGAGGTCTCTATGGAATACGGAGCCCCTGAATCCAGTGGGGTTTCACTGGGCTCGAGGAACAGGAAGGTCACATAGACTTAGAGCTGGAGATCCCTAGTGGAGCCAAGGGATTGCTTTCTGGAAGAATGCCACTGGGATAATTAGCCTTAATTCTGGCTCACAGTTCTACTTGAACCTGGAGGCCCCTGAGTGCAGAGATATCTTGTTCCAGGGACAATGCTTGGCATTCCAGCTTGCAAAGGCATTTCCTGATTATTTTTAATGACTATAGGGGAAACTGCTTTTCTAGATGCCATTCTGGTGGGAGCCAGTGTATTATTTATAGCTGGAGATGGAGAGACAGAGATGTGAATTTAGCTTCTCTAAACTGGAAGAAAACTGATTGGACTAGAGTCAGGTCTGAGGCCTAGGGAGGGCCCTCACTGTCACTGCAGCAGCTTTGCTGCCCTGGGCTGTCCAGGGCCTCCTTATTGAGAGCCTTGGGAGTTGTTCAGATATTAATTATGCTGTTGATGCCCTGCGGTGAACAGGCTGGCAGGTAAGCATCATCACAGAACTCGTGCCACTTTCTGCCACAGCTGGGGTGACAGGGTCCTCATGCCTTGGGTGTGATGCCAGGGAGCCCTGCTGCCTGAGGCACTGGCATTTCCACAACGGGATAAGGCTCCCGGACAGTCCCTTCTCAGCTACTTCTGGTTCATGGCACTTGCTTGATGAGAATGAGGCTTGCCAAAATCTCTGGGGTCTCTTTCTGGGGGACCTGAAAGTCTGATTAGGCTCCTGAAGTCTGATCCTGCTGCCCATGGAGGGATAAGAGCCGAAATCCTGGTTTTATAGTGTTAGATCAGACCTCTAAGACTTAGAGGCCAGGAAGGAAAGAAACTGAGGAGGACCCCAGAAGATGGGCTCTTGAAACCCAAGTGATGATCACATCCCTGCTCAAATCAGAGCAACTGAAATCCACCTAATCCAATGTATTTAGACATGGCTCCTTTCCCTTATAAAGAACAGACTTTCCCAAATCAAATCAATCTCTTTCTTTTCTGTCTCTGCCTCTAAAGCTAGTGTTTCATCAAGCAGAGGGACAATGCTCCGGGGGCTGTGATGTAACAAATCAGTCCCAGAAGTTTCGAGGACCCCACAGAGCTTACAGCCTGGGAAGATGCCAGAGAAGCCCAAGCAGCCAGTGACCTGTGGGGCCAGTGCCACCCCCGGCTCTGCCCTCCCCCCTTTCCTTGTCACACACCCGCACAGTGGGGAAGCCAAGGATGTTGAAGTCTCTGCAGACTGCAATGTTGGTCTCATCAGCACAGTCCAGGGCAGCAAGATTCAGTGCTGGCCTCCAGTCTGAAAGAACAAAAAATACCCTAGGATTACCAAGAGGGTCTGGCACCCCCTCTACCTGCTCCTCACCTCATGTGATGCGCCACCCCCACCCCCATAGCACCTGACACCAAAGCTCTTGTGAGAAAGGTCACACCTTCCTCAGAAAAGGACCTCTGAGATAATCCAGTTAGTCTGCATCTAGTTAGAGCCTCTCAGGGCACATACTTAGGATACAGTTAGACAGCACAAGCAATGCTGTCTTGTAAGGATATCTGTGGTCCCTGATGCTCTGCAGGGGGTGGGGTAGGGGCTGCAGGGGCTGACGGAAATGAGAGGAGCCTGGCCTTCCAGGTACTGTCTCTGTTCCTGTGGCCCTCTAGATGTGATCAGTTCCAGGTGGAGAGTTTGCCTCAGGGGTTTGGAATGCCCCAGTGGACCCTCAGTGAAGGCTGCTTGGGCCAGGGTTACCACCCAGTCGGGAGGGTGGGGCATAGGGGTTTGGGGACTGGGTCTGCAGCAAGAAATGGAAGCAGGAACCCTAGGGGAGGATGGGAAGGCACCTGGGAACCCTAGGGAAAGAAGCCTTGAGGCCAGAGTCTAGAAAGAGATGAATAACCCTGCTTCTTCACCAGGCCCCAGGCCTGAAATGCTGGCAGAGAATAAGACAGCCCAGTATCTGAGAAACAGAATACAAACTCCAACACCAGGCAGGTCTTCTGGGCACTCACCAAAGTTCCACCTTACATGGAGGCTGCTCTAGCTGGAAGGCAAAACCACAGAACTGAGAGATGGCAGTGACTGGTGTCAAATTATGCGACACAGAAGTCTAAAGGAGAGTGGACCTAGGAGAGGGGCAGGAGGACGTTGAGTTGAACCTTGAATCAGTCCGGGTGCCAGGGAACAGCCTGAGCAAGAGTGAGGAGGAGAGAATTGGCAGAGACCAGATAGGCTGGAGAGGAGGCTTTAGCAAGGCTTGGGAGCCAGACTAGAAGGGAGGCAGGAAGGGGCCGGAACGTGAATGTTCACTTGAAAGGGCCAGGGCTGCTTCTAGGAACCCTAGAGACACCGGGGTCTCTGAGGCAGATGAGAGGATAAGGAAGCTTGCATGCAAAATTCCTCAAAGGGCACAGAGCCCTACACCTCCCATCTGGAGTATATATCCCAGGGCTCGGGAGTGGGATTTGCATAGGCAGCATCTCCAGCACCCTTGAAGTACAGAACTCTAACATCTGGATAACATCCCTGATGATCACGGTTTGCCAGGACCTCTTACCCCACCCTAGAACATATTTCCTATAATATCTGAAAAAAAAAACCAAACACATTATGTCAGAAGGCATCAGAGCCCTCAATGACATTTTATGCCCAAAGGAATATTGCCCTCACTTCCAGGAGAGGTTGCAGGAGGAGCCTGACAAACCCTGATCCCGTCCCTCAGAAGAAAACATCTAAGCAGGTCCTCCCACAGACAGATAGGGTAGATCCACCTGCGGATCTGCTGATCCCAACCCACCTCCACATCCTGTCCACCCTCCCTCTGAAGTCTCTTCCTCAACCAAATCCCCCACCTCCTCACCCCATCCTAGGTTGACTTGGGCACACCTCACCTCTAACCTCCATGTCCAGTGAGCTAGTGCCAAGTTTCTCTTGGCAGGTCCTTTTCACAGAAACAGAAACATTTTATTTCTCTCCTAGTGAGGTTCTAAATGTGCCCCACCCCTCACTGGCCTCTCCAGCCCCCAGATGATCTTTTCTATCTGTGGATCTGATGACCTCACCCTCTCTACTCAATAGTCTTTGGTGGCTCCCATTGCCTTGAGAAGAAAATCTACAGCCATAAGAAAATTCTTCACCTGGCCCCTGTGCACACATTCAGCCTCCTGTAAAATCATTTTATGTTGAATTAAGTAATAGATATTCATGAAATGTCATTTATAAGTAAGTAAAATGCTAAAACATTAATTGCTGACCCTAAGTTTAAAGAATATATGCTTTGGCATCTTGATTTTGTACTACACAGAGAAACTAAATATATTTGGGTATTAATAAACATGAAAAATTAAGGAAATACATGTTTCTAGAAATTATGAAATGACGAATGTTGATATAAGACAGCTCAAATCCTTGTGAGTTTTCACTAGAAATTAAGATCACTATGGATTAAAAACACTAATTAATATAAGGTAACTAAAACTATAAATAACAAGGGAAACCATTCTGTATGCAAGGGTAGTAAAACACATTTTACGAAGCAAGTTATAAAATATGAGGATGAGTTTTGGTTAAGGGAAAAAGAGAGCAATTTTGTTCTAAAGTAAAGTGACTGGTTATTTCACAGTGAGAAAGAAGAGTATAGGACAAATTAATGAGTATGAGGAAACCGTACGGATTACGAAGAGAACAGAATTTCATGGTCAAGTAGGCTAACTTATTTTAAGTTTGGGGTTTTAACAAGAAAGGCCTTGTTTACAGCCATATCACCCTGAATACACCTGATCTCATCTAAAAAATGAGACTTAACATCAAAAGTACACTGATGCAAAGCCAGAATTTGGTCCTCTCTGTTAAAATAAGGTTTTCTTGGAGTACTGATCTGCTCTTAATAGAAAATAGTAAAAGGATTTTCTTTACCTTTTAGGTAATTGTACTAGGAAAGATTGATTCTGTGTTTTATCAAGATGATTCCCTATGCTTCATGTTGTCTTTGTTAGGTCTTTGATTACTTAAGAAAACAGAGTATTCTCTATTAAAGAGCTACGTTTTTTTCTACAGCAATGTAACTTTCTGTATCTGTCTTTTAAAGTCTTTTAGTTATTATTCTGGTTAAATTAATGACTATGAATTCACAGTGACCTGTGATCCTATTTGGATCAAGTGCTTTAAACCTTTGATATTTTTGACAAACTTCTCAAATTCTAAATTGTTCTTTTGAATTTTAATTAGCTTTGGAAAATCCAGAAGGCCCTTGACCATCTCAAAGATTCTGTAAAAGAGAAATATTAAACTAATCACTAGTTTTATATATTAATTATATAGGAAACACTGTCAAAAACAAATGATGTTTTACTTTCTTTTAGCTGTATTTTTGGTTATTTATATTTGTTATTAATGTGTTCTGAAAATTGTAAGAAATTCCTAGAAATAAGATCAGTCATAATTCCAGTTATGCCAAAATGTTGCATTCTTCAGAAATAACCAAATTTCCTTCTCAGATGTGTAATTATTATAGTGAACATCATCAGATCTTTAACCGTGGTTCTTTTAAGTCGTGTTGTCCACAGTTAATTGCTTTATCTGATGCTTTTCTAAAAGCCTTTTTAAAAGTAACTGCAATCCTAAAGTGCTTCATCCTCAAAGGAACTCATGGAAAAGACTGACAAATAAGGTTTCTGGTAACTTTGAGATCATACCATTGGACTGGGTAAGAATTTCCAGAACTCTAATGAAGAAACTGATGGGTTTGTGAAACTGCTCACCAAGATCTAGCAGAAGAATTAATTATATGAGACTAAATGATCTGATGAAGAATTATAGGTTTTTACTGCTTTTTAAATTGAAAACATTGTTGGTTCTTTTAACATTTTGTTTTCCAGATTTAACAAAACTCTTTTTCCTTGAGGCTATCTAAAGTTCAATTTGGTAAATCATACTCTTGTAAACAAACATTGGAACATTTATTTTTCTCCCTACAGGATCTCTCCAGAATTTGGAACGTAGTTGTAGGTTTATTTATTTATTGAGTCGGGCTCTCCTCTGTTGCCTAGGTTGGAAAGCAGTGGCACAATCATGGCTCAGCATAGCCTTGACATCCTGGGCTTAGGCGATCCTTCCACCTCAGTATCTGAGAAGCTAGAACTACAGACATGCACCACTACACCTTGCTGATTTTTGGTAGAGACAAGGTCTTGCCATGTCGCCCAGGCTGGTTTCCAACTCCTGGGCTCAAGCAACCCTCTTGTCTCAGCCTCCCAAAGTGCTGGGATTATAGGCATGAGCTACCACACTTGGACTCAGGTATTCTTTATTTTTTGGCAATATAGTTATTTGCATAAGTTCAATAAGAATCTGTTCTCCTTATAACAGGATACTATTGGAAATACTGATATTACCAAGGCTTTTACTGTAAGGTCATATTTGTGAATGTACATACAATAAATCTATAGAAGGTACTGCAGGTAAAGTTGAAAGCCTACTTTGGTTTGGCTTCCTAGCTTTGAGTAGTTGTTAAAACTTCAGTCTGAGATTCCTTGTCAAAAGTTCTGCAAAACCAACTTAAAAAGAGTCCATGTGGTCAATCACTACTCTTGCTGCACTTAAGTAAATAATCAAGCCAAGTTTGATAAAACTAAACACATTTTGCCAACAAAGTCTTACTCTGATTATCTTTGTTAGTAATGTGGATGACTATAGAAAGAAAAACTATACTTCTGAAGAAAAATTATAGTACACTTGTTATTAGATTGTAGCCCTATTCATTGCTTTCACGTTTTGATGATCTACCTATAAACTGAACTGGATCCTGAATTCTTCTAGTATTTGCTAATGTCTGTCTACAACTCTCCAACTAAGAACAAGTCTTGCTTTGTGCCCAAAGCCCTATCAGTCACAGCTGGACAATTTGATGTAAATTTCAAAGGACAAGCATCATGCCTGATGTGTGGACCACACAGAGTTCACCTAAGTGCCCAATGCCATAACCAGGGACGTTCAAACTGCAAACCAGAACAAGAAGTGGAAGATCCCATAGTATGGACAGCTTTTCCCAAAACATCAGAACATGACTCCCCATCAAAATTCAACTTTTACCCCTCTAAATTTGTCCAGATTATGTCTTTTTGCCGGAGTAATGCTGTAGTTAGAATTTTACAATCAGTAGCTTCTGCGAGTAAGTTGGATGATATGTCACTCTAAACCTAGATCTTTATGTGACCTAAGGGATTCTTTAGTCTACCCAGTGGGTAACTTCAGCAACATTTCTAAGACAACTGTGGTTCAAACTGTGCTCTCTTTTACGGAGTCTG